GTGTATGGGAGCACCATGAGTCAAGGGCCAATTTGATGCAGCTAACAATGACACCTGACCCCCAGGAAGCAATCGATGTCTCTTTGGTTATTCCCTGGCATTTCACTGAAAAGTTTTCTAGAATAGTTGGGTAGTGGAAAAGGATAAAGAAGACATGGTTGACAATGGTGACCGCTGAGAAAACTTTGGTGACAATTTCATATTGTAGACTTGCAGCTTGAGGCTTGTATGTAAAAAATCCTGCCTTCATGCCAACCAATATTTTTGCACACAGAAGAGAGAATGTCACCTGATTGCAGTTGGCCATTTAGCCCTAAAATTCCACCTCTGAACACCTGTGTTGTTTGTTCTTTCTCCCCCTTAGCGATAGAAGAGAACAATATGGAAACTACAGCCCTGATCTGCGTTTGTGAAGACGCTTTTAAACAAATACGCAGTGCTCTGCTCCACAGCACTTTAAAAATTATACAGATACTGACAGCTTCATGGACGGAGTAGTACTTCTATCTCCAAAGCATGTGGGCAGTCCTGACAAATATTAGTTACATAAGCCTAATGAGAGCTGTATTCAAACGCCATGTTGCTTTAAAACTTCTAAAGTTTTTCTCACACATGCAGGCTCGAAGGAACTGGATATGAAGTGTCATTTTCAGCCTAAACTTGAGCATACCAAACTCACTTCTTTTTTGAAGGTGTTTTGAAATGGAAAGCAGCAACAGGTTTCAGTCTTGACTCAGAGGCTGACCAGCTGGGTGGCTTTGAAGACATCCCTAACCACTGCAAGTCCAGGTGCTGACTTTCACTGCTACGTGCAAAGTCAGGCGATTGGGACCCATCACCTTGTTCTATGAGTCTCAGCTTATAGCTTCCTTTCTCCCAGATGCCATTAATCCTACATTTATTTCCAGCTGAGTACTGCCTAAATATCACCCTAGATTTCTATAAACTATGAAATAAGTTTATAGAAATTATGGATTTATGAAATCTATACATTTCCTATGGTTTCCTTATTTGGAACAATGATCAACGTGACAACTACTGAGCCTCCTATTGAGACAGCCTAAGAAAATCCACACACAGGGCCCAGCATGATGACGGAACAGTGACAGAGAAGGCAGGATAGAATGACAATTTGTTGGTTCTTTTAAGAATGAATATTCCCTCTATATTTGTAGTCAGGAGCTCTGGAGTAGTAGATAAGGCATTATACTGTTAACTAGAAGGTCAGCATTTCAAACCCACCAGCTGGTCCATGGAAGGAAGATGGGACAATCTATTTCTGTAAAGATTTACAGCCTTGGAAACCAGATGGGACTTGCTGAGTCAGAATCAATTTTATGGCTTTTTTTTTTTTTTTTTCCTGATTTGTGGTGAAATAAGTGGATCTAGTCTCTTAATACTCAGGTTTCTGAAAAAAGAGTCATTTTAGTTAGATAGAAAGAGACACAGTCATCCTATCAACTGAGAACTTTATAGAAAAGTCTGCAGAAGTAACCTGTCCCTTCTTTTGGGTGCATGGAAGTTCATTGGTTAATTGATTGATTTTTCTCAATATTTATAGAGCAGCTATATGTATATGCAGGAGGAGTTTTGCTGGCATAGTGGTTAAGGCATTTGGCTGCTAACCAAAAGGTCAGTGGTTGGATATTAAGAGCTTCTCTGCAGAAGAAAGATGAGGCAATCTGCTTTGGTAAAGGTTCACAGCCTTGGACACCTAGTAGGGGTTGCTATGAGTTGGAATTGACTTGATGACAATGAGTTTGGTATATGTATATGAAAAAGGACTTCTGGTAGCACAGTGGTTAAGGCATATGGCTGCAAACCAAAATGTTGGTGGTTTGAACCTACCACCTGATCCACAGGAGAAAGATGAGGCAGTCTGCTTCCACAAAGATTCTAGCCTTGGAAACCCTGTTTCCAAGCTTGGAAACCCTATGGAAACCCAGTTCTACTCTGCACCATGAGTTGGAATTGACTTCATGGCAATGTTTTTTTTTTTTTTTTTTGGTTTCTATGTATATGCAAAGTATTTTGAAGATATCCAGACCATATTCATGGAGCTCACAGGCTGTCAGATATATTGAGAATCCTAACATGGAAAAGAAAGAGAGAAGATATCCAAGAAGGAGGTGGAGACAAAGGAGAGGTTATTGTCAGTCTGGTGTGAGAAGAGTGGTAGATTCTGGAGGCACGTCAGTATGAGAGGGAATGGTCCATAGCACTTGCTGTGTATTCATGTGAGGAATGAGTGAATGAAATGAGATGCACAGTCCTCTGCCATCTCCGTGTGAAACGTGATGGGACACTTAGTGGAATGGAAACCCTGAAGCCATGAGCTACCTCTCTGCGTGGCTTTACTTGGTGGAGGGCAGAAGAAATGAGGAGCTTAGGAGGACTGACTGAACACCATAAAAGTAATAAGCTATTGCTTTGGGGCCAGATACGTGGAAGAGTGGTGCTTGTTCGCCTTGTAAACCTACTGTGTCACAGAGATTTGGGATAGGCTCAAATTCTAGTTTTAACCTGTACTAGTGCTCTGTGTTTCAGGTTCCTCATTGATAAATTGAGGCCAAACCTTATCTCAGAGGGTGATTATGATCAGTAAGTAACATGATTCTATCATTCCTTGTTAGCTGTGGTCTTGCCTCAGTTTCCTCATCTGTAAAATGGGAATTAAAATAATAAGGCATAATAATAATCATAGAAATAGTACATAAGATGCCTAGCTCTCTGCCTGGCAAATGGTCAGTGCTTGATCAATTGGGGTTATTAGTAGTAGTAGTAGAAACCCTGGTGGCTCGGTGGTTAAGCACTGAGCTGCTAACTGAAAGGCTGGCAGTTTGAACCTACCAGCTGCTCCACAGGAAGAGGATGAAGGGATCTGCTCCTGTAAAGATTTACAGCCTTGGAAACCCTGGGGGACAGTTCGACTCTGTTACTTGGGTCACTGTGAATTGGAATTGGCTCAATGGCAATGGGTAAAGTAGTAAAACAACAAACAACAAACAAACAGTTGCTGTTTAGTCGATTTTGACTGACGGCAACCCATGTGTGTCAGAGTAGAACTGGGCTCCATAGGGTTCTCAGTGGCTGGTGTTTTGGAATTTGATCACCAGGTCTTTCTTCTGAGGAGCCTCTGTGAGGACTGGAACGGCCCACCTTTCAGTTGGCAGCCAGGCGCACTCACCTTGCATTCCCCTCCCCCGCAGGGACTTCAGTAGCAGCAGTAGCAGCTGCTATCCATCTCTTTTGGCAGACATAATTACCATTTACGTCACACTGTACAGATTTATACAATCATCACTCCACATTATTTATTTGTCCTGTTTTGTACTAAAATTCCCTCCTCGATACAGATTCATGTTTCTTCATTGTGCAGGTGAGGACACCCAGGCGGAGGGGCGAGTGGAGGCACTTGGGGCGAGACTTCTAGAGAGGAGTCAGGCCTGAAGTGTGGATTCCCACATCAGGAGTCCTCCAGTCTCCCTACAGCATCACAGCAGGGTTGCAGGAAGGTGGTGGGAGTCACGTCTACCACGTGTCCATGTCATGTGTCCATACCAAGTGGATCTGAACTTGAATCCTGATTCTGCCCTTTATTATCTGGGTGCTGTCAAGCTCTGCAAGCCTCGGGTCCCTTAACTGGAAAATAGCCTCTGTGTACTGTGTCTTCCCTTCTCCCCTCCCCCAACTGCCACTGAGTCAACTTCAACACATAATGACCCTATAGGACATAGTAGAACTGCCCCATAGGGTTTGCAAGGCTGTAATCTTTATGGAAGCAGACTACCACATCTTTTACTGGTAGTTTGAGCCAATGAGCTTTCAGTTAGCAGCCGAGCACTTTAACCACTGCACCACTGGGGCTCTTCTTGGTTGTTGTGCAGTGACATAAATCAAATGAGAAAATGTGTGTGAAGCACCTGTCACTTAGCAACTCATGCACTGACAGCTGATTCTCCTCTTAAGCCCTGCCTTTGGAGAGCTTCCAGTGCAGCACTGCCCCAGCTGTTTCCCAGAATCCTCCTCCATAGTCATTACATGAAGAAACTCCATGACTAAATAAACTTGGAAATGGAGGGTGAAGCTAAGCTAAGTGAGGCTCTTTCCTGCAGAGCTCATGGAATGGGTGAAGGGGCTCTTCTGGACTACGACATGTAAGTCACGTTTCTCAAGTCCACTTGGCCACAGAATTCTCTTTAGCAAGTCACATCACGTGATTGATGTTCCATAGCGCATGCATTGAGACATGCTGATGTGATTAAGCATCTTCCTTTGGAAGATGAGAAAATGCAGCCGTGTATCACCCAGGGAAGAAGCGGCAGAGCCAGCTCCCCTGACTTCCTGGGTCCCCTCTCTTAGCACTGTTCAGATGGGTCATGTCTCCTGTCTTCTGCTGCTCGACTCTTTCTCTGCTGCTGGTCCTAAAAGGCTCATAGTGTTGGGATGGAGTTTCTAGATAGGACAACAGAAGGAAGGAATCATGGAGGCACCTGATCTGAAAATGCTGAAGAAAGGATCAAGGGGGACTAAGCACTGGAGGGGCAAACCCAAGTAAGCAGGCCAGTGAGTCACAATTGGGACAGTTGGCTTCTTGTTAAAGACTCTGTGTGCATGAGAGGACAAAATTGAATTGTACGGCTGTAACCATATTATTAAGCTAAAGGGACTCAGGAAAACACTGCCCGCTAATATTCCTAACTGCAGCCCAGTCACACAGCCATTTGCTGCCTGTCCATATTTTACTGAGATGAGCAATTACGTGTCCTGTAATGGCAACGAAGCAATAAAATTTATGTCTTGTCATCTTTAACAAGATTAGACATAGCCCTTCTCATAAATGTGATACTGAACAGAGAGTTTTAAGAACATAAGTATAGTTAAGGATCCTTGAGTTTATCCTTCATAGTTAATTAAAGTCCTCCCCAAGAATCTGCAAATGATAGATCTCAGGACGCTGAACGGTTCTCATCCATGGCAGGGTGAACTAATGATCTTACCTTGCTCAGCTTCAGCTTGGTTTGTGGCTCACAACATTGGTACCATAGAGATTTCAGAAGAGCAGCGAAAGGCGTGACTCCTATTCCCGCAGCAATGCACACACTCACTGGATAGTGGAAGACATCCGTGAGGGCGGCGCCGAATGGCCCATCCACTGCCAGCCTAAAACCACAGTGTTGAGTCTGGTGACAATAGAACACTGCTCTTGAAAACAAAACCTTCCTAAGCCCATGTTTTGCATAGGATGTGTATGACAGATGTGTGCAGAGAGGTTGGCTTGGTCTCAAGAATGTTTGGAGGACCTGGGTTTAGCTTGAGGATATTGGGCCTGACCTCATGTACAGGAGCCACTCATGGAAGGACAAATGATGATTTCTCTGGGATAGCTCATACCTCCTCCAGGTGGCATGTGTTTCTTATAGCTCTTAGGCACTTGTGTTGTCCCCAAGCAACATGCATATAAAATCAGTTCCTGTCAAGTTGATTCTGACTCATGACAATCCCATGGACGTCAGAGTAGAATTGTGCTCCATAGAATTTTCAATGTCTGAGTTTTTGGAAGTAGATCACCAGGTCTTTCTGAGGTGCCTCTGGGTGGACTCAAACCCCCAACTTTTCCATCAGCAGCTGAGCGGTTAACTGTTCGCACCGCCCAGAGATTTCTCAAGCATGAGGAAGCTGGAGGAAAGAGATCTTTGCTCCTACCTGCCATTAGAGGCCAATGAAGAAGCACCAAGGTGGTTTAGAAGGCTCATATTTATTTTTTCCTAATGTGTTCCTCTGCTGTTTTTCATTCATCTGGTCACACTCCTTGGTGTGTTTATATAGTCTTAGTCTAATGGAAGCCATTCATTTGGAACACATATACTTTTGAAATAATTTCTGAGACATGGAATTTCTAAACTCATTAATTTAGATTATGCTGACCCAAATTTGTGGTCATTAGGCAAGAGGCAACACTGAGGTTTTGTCTTTGCTTAGCACACTTTTCTTTATAAAGATAAACCATATTCATGGAATAAATAAGATTTTCCTTAACATGGCTCTGCATGGATGGGCCCCTGGATTCTTCTCTGTTTCTCATCACCAGTTTTCCTACACTGGCTTTTCTTTCATTTCTTAAAACAGGGTACCCACTGGTGCCACAGGGCCTTTGTATATGCTAATCTTTTCGTTGGAATATTTTGGGATACTTGGACTTCTCCCCTTACTTGGAAAATAGTTACCTTTCCATTAGGTCTTATTCCAATCATTATTTCTCTGGGGAAGTCTTCCTGAACTCCTTAGATTCAGTTAAAATATTGTTTTATTAATTTATAGCATCATGTATCTCTCCTCTGTAATTTTTGTTACAGGTTTGACTTTATAATTTCTTTCTTTGTACATGATTTGATTTATATCTGTCATCACTAAACTGTAAGACAACCTTGTCTATCTCTGCTTATGACTGTCCCAGTGTCTCACACACTCTCTGCCACAGAGTTTTTGTTCAAAAACAATTTTTTGAATAAATTATAAAGTTAAAGTTTAGAATATTTCAGTCAGCAGAATGTATTAAATAACCTCAACTATTCCAAAAGCACACATTTACATTTGAACAAAGATATGCTAATTAAAAGGTTTCTAAGTTATTCACAGCCATTCCCTAAGGGGTGTCTGTAGAAGGCTTATGAGGTTGGCCCAGTTGGGTTTACTATGTGTTCATGAAAGTTCAATTGGGTTTATTTTTAAATATTCTATATGCCAGACCACATAATAATTCAAATGAACTCTCCTCAAGTTAATCTTAATTAATAAGGCTGCATTACATATTGATATATGGAAATGAAAGAATGAAAATAAAAGGTCATTAACTGGAAAGGGTTAGTATCTCAGCTCACTGTAGATTATTTTATAAATAATTGGATAAAGGGAATTGAGAGAAAAACTGAAATTGTCCATGGATTAAAATACCTCATTGTTAATTGTTTTTATAATTAGTGGTATTTAGGATTCACTTGACACATTTAAAAAGATGTCAATTGAATCTAAAGAAGAATTACATCATATAACCCATAGAAATATATAGTAAATAAGTTGGTCCATCCACAGATGCTAGGTTTCAGTGGAGCTTTCAGACTCAGACAGACTAGGAAGAAAGGCCTGGTGATCTATTTCCAAAAATCAGTCAAGGAAAGCCTATGGATCACGATGGCTTGATCTACAACTGACCATGGGGATGGTGCAGGAGCAGGCAGTGTTCTGTTCCATTGTGCGTGGGTACCCGTGAGTCAGAGGCCAGCCATGGCAGCTAACAACAGGCTTCACATTGTAAGAAAATGTTCTAACCTTGGTAGGCTCCAGGGCTCCTTGCGGGCCTGTTCCTCTGCTCCACAGGCTTTAAATAAAGCCCTGGTCCAGTCCCCTGCTGCCTGGATGTGCACACTGAAGAAGTCCTCTTCGGGGGCTGAGGTGAGTGTGAAGGGGTGCCACTCTAGTGCAGATATGGACGGACACTGTAAGAAGATGTACTGCCCTGGTGCCATTTTGAAATTTCGTTTTTTCATGTGAAGCTCTAGGACTCCAGATGGATGGCTGACCACCTAGATTAGAGCAAGAGATTTGATGGGTGTTTTCACTCAGGTTAAATAATAATAAGAAAGAAATGGTCTTCCTTCCATCACAGGTTTTCTTTTTGTAATTTTATTGTGATTTGGGTGATAGTTTCCAGAGCAAATTCACCTTCCATACAGCAGTTCACATACACTTTGTCTCATGACATTGACTGTGATCTCCCACAGTGCGACATCTCTCTTCCCACTTCCTCCCCATAGCCACCTTTTCCCTGTGCCCTTCCCTGCCATGCACTGCTGCCCCCTGAGCTGTCTCCCTGTGCATACACAGCCCTTCTTTCTCCCATGATTGATCTCTCCAAGGAGTGTATCTACCTGATGTAAATGTTCAGCTCATATGCCTGTCTTTTGTTTGGCTGGAAGCCACAGAAGTGGGTTCAATTCCAGACCTGAAAGGCAGGTAGGGGCCATAGTTTCAGGGGTTCTACCAGGCTGTATCAGACCAGCAAACCTGGTACTTTTTTTTTTCATGATTTTGAGTTTTGTTCCACATTGTTCCCCCACTATATCCAGGATCTCCTATGTAGATTCCCCTCCAAGTTATTGACAGTGGTAGCCAGGCTTTCATCACCTTCTGGTCTCATAGTCATTGTGATAGTTGGAGCTATGAGTCAACTTGGCTGGGCAACAATCCTGTGTGGTTTAAGCAATTGTGATGTGGATTGTTCCAATGATGGGATGAGATATATATGTTTTGAGCAGCCAATACGTCGAAAGGGAGCTTCCCTAGGGGTGTGTTCTGTTTCCAGTATATTTATAGACATCCTGGGAAAAGAGACTTTTCTGTGGATTGGGATTCTGTTGCACTGCCTACAGTTTTCTGTGAGCAAACAATCCACCATTTGGCTTGGAGATCTTGGATTCATCATTCCTTGGAGTCAACAGTCAGTTTACTGCCTGCCAACCCTGAGCTCGTCAGCCCCTGCAGCTGCATGCGTCAGGAAAAACCTCCAGCTTGATGTTTGATCCAAGATCTTGGGACTTGCCAGCTTCCATAAGTGTGTGAGCCACTTTCCTAAGATAAATTTCTCATTCTCTCTCTATGTAAGCTTTACTGGTTTTGCCTCTCTAGAGAACCCAGTCCAACACAGTTGTATAGGGTGAGGATTGCATGGTGTACCAGTCCCTTGGACTTATTGTTTCCATGCACCTTTGGCTTTCTTCATTCTTCTTTCCTGTGGAGGAGAGGAGACCCATCCTTGCATCTAGATGGCCTCTTGTAAGCTTTTAAGATCCCAGTTGCTATTTACCAAAGTAGGCTGTGGAACAATGTTTTTGTGAGCTTCATGTCCACTGTGACCATGGTTCTGAGCCCACAGGTCCAACTACTTGCTCCTTCTGGGTAGCTGGCTGTGGCCAAGAAGTAACTACAACCTTCTCCTTTGTCAACTCTACTATATACTTAGAAATTGTTACACAACATACAAATACACTCGTAGAAACATTGTCTACCAACCCTATATATGGTCATGGGCACACACTCCCCTGCATAGACATACCTAATCATTTAGCCTGTCCACCCATCTACCCACCTGTAGATCAATGTTTGCCATCACTGACAATGCAGTACTGTATGTGAAAAAGGGTTCATCTTTGTTGTCTTACCTCCTATGCACCTTTCTAAGTCTTCTTCTTCCTCAATACCACAAAAGTTTTTAAAATTTTAAATCAGTTTTTTGAGATTGCATTTATAGACATTTGTTATTCTAGTGACACTTGCCATCACTTTCATGACTAGGGTTTCAAACCTAGCAAGCAAGAAAGGAGTTCTCCTTCCAATTTGGGTGGCTGCACCCAGGGGCAACATGGTGCCTAGCACCAGATCCCAAATGGTCTAGCTTTCCAGGGCACAGTTAACCAGATCCATGAGAATCTAAGCTAGCATATTTTGCCACTCAATTATACTTACACTTATTAAAATAGTCATTACATTATCTCCATGGGCTTAAAATCTAGGTACAGTTTGGTACTCTTTTCATTTATCTTCGTCTTTTCTAATCCCTTGTTAATTAACTCTAGTTTTCATTCATGCTCAGTGGCAAACAATCTCCAAACTCATTCTGAAGTATCTTGTTTACTTTGTTTTACTGCAGTCATGACAGAGTTCATAAAGGTTCATCCGGCCTCTTGATTTGGTTGAGTTTTAGATTTAGGAAAGCATCACACAAAAGCTCTTAGGGCTTTGTTATGGGAAGGAGCTTTAGACCTTGCTGCTTATCAGAGGGCAACAATGAATTCCCCTTCTTAGATCCCCAACTTGTTTTCTGAAGACACTCTTTAGGCAACCCCACATCTTCTTTTGTGGCAGGAGTCTAAGGAAACAAAATCCAGTTGTATCTTGATGCTGTGACAGTAGTCTTCCATTCAGAAGAGAATTTCACAGGCCTTTAATTTTAGTTCTGTTTCCCCTCTCCCTACCGGTATTTGTTCTGATTCTGCTATTAAATTGTCTCCCTAGTAACGGCGCTAGTGAGTTTCCAGAAGTTTTATGGGCTGGCTTTTGATACAGCCTGACATTCTTTGGTGCTTAACTTAAAAACAGCCACATAGATACTGCTTTAATCAGAAATATGAAGCAATTTCTTTACATTTGCTTTCACGAAAACGGTTAAGGAGATAGAGTATTCTGATAAAATTATATTAGTAAAGTGGTATAGGTTTGGTTAGCAGAAAATTTCCCCTTAGACATTAAACAAATTGGATGGAGAGTGTTTGTACTTGTTCAGTCTTCTAGACACATATTCTTGGATTCTCCTTTCATATCTTCCTCCAGCAGGAGGTAAAAATTGGAGAGCTATGTGGAGAGCTAGCAAGATTGGAAAATGCTACCAAGGAACCTTCTACTCACTAGCATCACACAGCATACATGACCTGCTTTCCAGTTTGAAGCTCTCAGGGTCCCTTACCCCCTCTGGTCCTGAGGGTGAGTTCTTGCCCTTTTCTCAGTAGTCCTCAGTATATGTGCTTGATAATGTGTGTGTGTGTGTGTGTGTGTGTGTGTGTGTGTGGTGTAGTG